CACTTCTACATGGGCATCATTAGTTGCACGAAACATGTCACGAAACAGTACATGATTCCTTGCCATGCTTGCTGTAGCATAGTCTTATCAATTATAGCAATGGCATCAGTAATCCTTTGCTTTAGGTCAGTAATGTCCCTTATCTGTGTTCGATATACGATATCTTTAACATAGCCCCATAGAAAGAAGTCCAGGAGAGTGATATCTGGTGAATATGTGGCCAAGAAATTGGTCTATTCCTTCCAATCCACTGGTCCAAAAATGTTTAATTGAGGAACCCACAAACATACAGTCCCCAATGTGGTGGTGCACCATCTTGCTGAAAAATGATGGTTGGTTGAAGGTCATTTAGTTGTGGTACCACATATTCAGTTAAAAAGTCAAAGTAAACATTTGCCTTGACCTTTTAATTGATGTCTTGCGGAAGAAAAATGGACCAATTATCCAATTGCACATGATCCCACACCACACATTCACCTTTAGGCTATTACACTCAATTTCTCTAGTCATGTGCGGATGTTCTAATTCCCAGATTCTCACATTGTGTTTGTTCAGTTTCCCTGAAACATGAAAGGTTGTCTTATCACTAAAACAAACTTGTCTGAGGAATATTTCATCCTCAGAAATACGTTCCAGCACATTAACTGCAAACTCTTTTCGCCTTGATTTATCATTTGGCTCAAGTACCTGTAAAAGTTGCACTTTTTAAGCATACAATCGCAAGTTCTTGTTTAAGACCTTGTGTACTGTTAAATACAGAAGCTGTAGCTGTGTGGTAGCAGTACAGATGGACTTTGTGGGAGAATGAGAAAAAGGTTGTCTTACATGATTGATATTTTCATTAGATGTTTTTGATCGCCTACTCTTTCGTTTATCTAACACTGTTCCTGTCTCCATAAATTTCTTGTGCCATGCATGAATTGACAGATGTGATGGTGGATCTCTTCCATACCCAGTTCTGTACTTTCGCTGAGTCTGCCTATCCCATTGTGTTTCAATCAATGAGGTACATAGCGCCCTCTCTTGAGGGGTAGCCATTTTGTATGGATTCATTTATGCAGGTCAAAATTTTATATTGAAAATCCAAATAGTGTGGGGGACTTCATTAGGCCCTAAATAAGATATTTTCAAAAGAAATTTTAGGATGTCACACACATCCTAAAATTGTTAAAAAAAATTAATTTTTCATTATGGTTTATTTAATAAACTTCAGTTGTTTTTCAAATATGATTGATTTTTTTAATATTTTCATGATGTAAACCAGTATATGAAAAAAAATTGTAGTCAATTTTTGAAATAATAGTTTACTCTAATGAAAATGCAGAAAAGATAATGCAATAAAAACATAATTGTGATTGTTTCCTTATTTAATATATTAACATTTACTTTCAAATGTTAATAGAATTTTTTTGAGAATCTAGTAAATTCAAAATGAAACGATGTCGATTAGCATGTCCAATGCGATCAGCTGATGCTTTTGTAACAATGGCAGCATGTCTTTCAACACTTTAGCTGTGACAAGGAATATCTAAAAGTTGCAAAGGTTTTTTTTCATATTCCAGAATTTCGGATTCTGTTTTAATAAGTAAAGGTGGGAGTGTGGCTAATTCTTTTTTTCCAGTCTATCATGTTAGTATAATCGTTTAAAAAAATATTGAATGTTTTCAGTCGTTCAAAATTCTGTTCTTCACCTTCTTTGTTAAGCCATGCTTCTAATATTCTACCAATTGCAGTTTTGGGAACTTCTTGTCATTTATCAGCTAACATGTTTAAAATAATGTTTTCCGGATGTGCAAAAAAAGAATTTGTATTAACAACTTTCTTCTTAATACTCTGGTATGGTTCTTTAGTTTGAGAAATCTTATTGCAAATAAACCAAAAATTCTTTGAGCCATGACTTGCAAATGGATGTGTTTTGGTGTAAAACCAAGTAGGAGAACACATTAACAAATATGTGTACAATATCAACTTATGCTGCATCAGGACCGACAGTTAAATTGTATAAACACAATATTCTGTTGGCTCGTGTCAACCATCTTGCATTGTGCAATGGCCCAAGAGGATGATGATGAATTAATCAGAATAACACATTTTGAAATTAATCAGAATAACACATTTTTGATGTTAATCAGTTAAATAATTTTTCGATCTTATTCCGTTTTTATTTTTTTCGATATTGTTCCACATTTGTGAATTTCGATATAAAAACTTTTCGATATTAATCTGAAAATTACATTTTTGATCTTAATCATTAAAATGAGTTTCGGTCATTTCATTCATTTCTTGTTCTTTTAAGTTTTGTTACCTTTCATAAGTTCTTTTCTTTTTTGCTGAAACAATTTTATCAATGAATCCTAATTGGTTCCTTCTCTTTTTCTGCCCAATAAAATCTTCCCATTCTAAAACAGGTATTTTTATGTTGCATTTACAATCTTTGAGGTCAATACCTCTATTGTAGCATCTGCATGAGCAAATGTCAAAGATTTCATCAAAGATTTCTTGTCACTTTCTTTTCTGTTAACAGGAGTTTTGTTCAGAAGTTGAGCCGTTTCTAGGAGGCGCTGAATCTTAATACAGATTTCTTTGTGACTTATGGTCAGAAATAAAAAGTTGTCCCATATTTGACATTTTTTGACAAAAAACTGCTAGTGCCTCTCTTGATGCTCCATTAGCATTCTCCTCTTGTTGCAAAAACATATTGACGGAACACATTGGCTTAAGTAGGAGTCATCTATTCTTTAAATCTTGTTGGCTATCCAAAAGTAAAATTGGCAGTGGCCATGTTGCCATTAAAAAGTATTTGCAAGAACTTCATATGAATCTTTACAAAGAAGTATGCGAAAAAAAACTTGAAACGCGGAAAGAATTATACTGTAACGTCAGTGAAAATGATAACATAAAAAACGTCCAATGAGTTTGTTATATAAAATTTTGAAACAATTATGCAAGACATGTGCGTGTTGCACAAGATGTGTGCATGTTGCACAAATGAGAAAATAGGTTAGAAATGATCATTACAGCAATTTGAACTCTGCACAATTTGTGGTAACTGAAATTAAAAAAAAGTTTCATTCAACACCACTTATTTCACAAACAAGATCCCTGAAACACAGAAATGCAGTGTGATAAAAAAACTTTAATAAACACAGAATATAATAGAACAAATCTAAATAAAATATCTAATCAATTGCATTGGTAATAAACATTTGATAAAGAGACTTTGCAGACCCTGTTCATATATATATATATATATATATATATATATATATATATATATATATATATATATATATATATATATATTAGCGATGTACCAATAACATTTTTTTGACCGATGCTGATATCAATGCCGATGGATGGGAAAAGGCTGATGCAAATACCAATAAATTAACTAAATATTAAAATTTTGAAAATTTAAAACCTACAACTTTAAATTGTTTAATCTTTTTCATGGAATCAATACTCGTAAACAAATACTTATACCCAAATCAGAGTCAAATTATTCATTTGAAAGATATTAGAAAAACTTTTTTTTACTATGGAAAGAAAACTTTTAAAAAATAAGTTGTTTTTAGAATAATTTAGTTTTGTGATGTTCGATCTCCACCATGTCACTGGTAGTACCGGGCTCAACTTGTTTCTCCGTACAGCGGCCTTTTTCGTCAAGGTTTTTGTTTCGGAGTTATAAAGTTGAGAGAGGTTTGTAACCATAACTAAAGTTATGGTTACAAACCTCTGGAGTGGCTTTCATAGCCTCAGGGAGGTGAATTAAAATAAAAAAAAGAGATAAAGAAATATAGTAGGCTATACTTGAACACATATAGATAACAATGTTTAAATAGGTTATTTTTAAGTATAACAATAGAACAACACAAAATAAAATTATTCTAATAACAACATTATGTTAATAAAAGTATAAGTACATTCAGCTGTTAAATTAAAGCTTGTAAACATCATCTCAAAAATAAACATATTTGCCTGTAAACAGTCAAAATAAATAATTTCTCAAAAAAAATTTTAAGTAATGCATAAAATTTAGTTTATTTATTATTTAATTATTATCATAATGTAGGATTAAAATATTCAAATGCCATTGGTTAGAAAATTGGAAAATGATTAAAAAAAGGTCGATGCTGATACTGTGCAAAAAGTGGTTGATTAAGCTGATGCCGATTAATCAGTACATCATTAGTATATATATATATATTTATATATATATATATATATATATATATATATATATATATATATATATATATATATATATATATATATATATATATATATATATATATATATATATATATATATATATATATATATATATATATATATATATATATATATATATATATATATTTATATATATATATATATATATATATATATATATATATATATATATATATATATATATATATATATATATATATATATATATATATATATATATATATATAATGTAATATAATATAATGTAATATATAATATATATATAATATATATATATATACTTTTTTTTTTCAGGATTATGTCCAGACTGTTCATACAAGTTAAACTATACCAAAAAGTAAAATATTTTATATGCATGTATGTATGTATATATATCTTATTTTTGATTATGTCTTTGATCATAGGATTACATAATTATAAATATTTAGCATTTATATGTTGTTTAAAAATTATTTTATATGTTGTTTATATGTTGTTTGAAAATAATTTTAGACATAATAAAGCTAAAAAGTTAAAGAGAAAAAGCTTTAGAGAAAAGTCTATAAATGGTAATATTTATATTATTTTACATGATTTTATAAAACTTCAATTTATTTTGACACTGTTATATATATAATTATAGTCTAGTTAGTCTGCTTTTGTTGTAAAGATATCAAAAAAATTTAGGTAGTTTGCACAATACTGCAGCTAGCGCATAAATTATGCAGAAAAAATTCTGACTTTTTTTCCTTCAAAAAATCAAAATTTAAGAGATAACCAAAATTAAAAATGTTAATTTTTAAGATTTCATATTCAATCATCTGCCCCTTTGTTCTTTAGTATCATGAATCCAAACTCTTTTAGATCATGAATCCAAAATCTTCAGTGCTAGAATCAAAGTGCAGCATGTACAACAAATCTTGGATTTTATTTCCTTCCAAATGTTTTCTATTGGGTTGAGCTCAAGAATCATGCCATTGATTGTTTCAATGTATGGCAAAATGTGTCATCATGCATATAAGTTGATTGATAAATTTCAAAAGGATCCACAAGTTTTTGTTCTAAACACCATATAAAATGATCAAAATTCATGTTTTCATTTTTAGGAAGAAGCTGTAGAGTTCCTCTGCCCTGTTTGCCACTAAAACAATTCCAAATCATTAAGTGTGTGCTATGTTTGAAAGTTTTTTGTGGGCATTAACTGTTTTTGTTGAAATAATGCTTTTATATATGTGGTATGAAACACATTTTCCTATCCACTAGGGAATAGCATTTGTGAATTAAAGAGTTTATGTTGTAAATAGTTTGATGTGCAGTAATAAAATAGTAATGACTTGGTAAAAAAGTGATTTCGTTAGTATCTCAGGGAAGCATAAATAAGCTCCCTAAAGGTCAGACAAACGACAGCCTACCATCAATTCTCATTAAGAACTAAACTAATTAATATTATGTATGTCTTTAAAACACCAGTGAACAGCTACCAGATGCACAATAACCTCAATATTTATGCTAATATTGAAAGAAACTAGATTAAGTTACTTCAGATGTTCGTAAAAATTTCGCGCTCGCTGTACTGTTTCTGTACTATGTTTTAAATATTAAATTTTTTTTTCCAAAAATCTCTGGTGCCAAATATTTTTTTCAATATTTATAACTTTTTGTTTTTTTGTATTTTAACTTATAGAAAAAGATGTTTTTGTGTTTTCCTTTCTTGTATTTTTTATCACCGTATTAAAGTGATAAAAAAAGAAAAAATCGAAAAGGTTCAAGTTGGTGTGTATTTTAAATTTTTCCTTTGAATGATAAAAATCAATTTATTTATATATTTAGATACTTTAGCCTTAAGACAGATTTCTTTGTGACTTATGGTCGGAAATGAAAATTTGTCCTATATTTGACATTTTTTGACAAAACACTGCCAGTGTCTCTCTTGGTGCTCCATTAGCGATAAAAATAAATTTATTTATATATTTAGATACTTTATCCAGTTCTCAAGCTAACGAACAAACTGAAGCACCTGGATCATTGTCGAAAAATATTGATAGTATATGGACCCAACCTCTACAAGAGAATTTGGTTGAAAAAACAAGGTTTTTTTTTTTTCAGATTAAATGATTCCCATAATTTTATATATGCAAGTAAATATGTATAAAGTATGCATACACAACATTTATATAAATGTATTATGTAATTATATCATATATATAATTTTGAAAAATGAGGGGATTTAAATATTCTTTTTATTATTAAATTTTTTTAGGGAAGAAGAATTTGATGAATATTTAGAAGATTTGTTTTTGTGATGACCAATTAAAATATTCCTAAGTTCAAATGTTTTATTTGAAAAATTTATTAAACGTTTTGTATTGATTGTAAAATGAAGAAAGCAAAAAATAAAGTTGTAAACTTTAATTTTTTACTCATTTAAAAATTTTTTAGTTTTTATTTTTAATTATTGTTTTTAAATAACTTTTGCTTTATTATTTTATTTTTTAGCATCACTTAACATAAATTTAAGTATTAATTAGTACAATTATGTTGCTAATTGAAAAATTGGTACATAACATAAGTTGGGGGATCTCCTTTCGAAGTTTAAATACATCTGCACTACTGTGCGGAATCAATAAATACACTACACCGACGAGAGATTTTATAGTAAACAATGATATTCTAAAGGAAATCATTAATTCAAAAAAGGAAATCATTGGCTTAAAAGAAAAGGAGAAGCTAGAAGTTGTTTATACAAACAAAAATCCTCGTCACATGGAACTTATGGGATTCAATAAACCTTCTGGATTTTCAACACTATATGATCATCGAAATTTTTACAATAAACTAAACTTAGAGATAACAAATCGACACACTAATGCTTTTGTTGAAAACATTAATGGGGAAATTTTATGCTATGCATCCACTTGCGAGCCTTACATAAGAGCAAGGCTACACAACACAACTGATGTAATGGCTGTTGTAAATGTTGCACGAATTTTAGCTGAAAGATGCAAGCAAACTGGAATAGTGCGTGTTCTATGGAGAACACGTTTAGACCGAACCACTGAGAAAATTAGGGAGTTTGAGGGTATTTTGATCAATAATGGAATTATTCTTTCTGAGCCTGCTACAAAAGTGCTTCAGGGGCCGTCTCAAACGCTACCTCCGCCTCGTCCTAAAAGAGTTATACCAAGGATTATGAATAACAGTCAAAGAAGAAAAGGAACAATATATAGAAAAGATAAAAAAGGTTTTATTAATGAAGTTTGTTTAGATGGTTAAATAAATTTGTAAATATTTATTAAACATCTTGTAATGTAATAACTTTCAAAAGTTTCTTTCAAAAGTTTTTTTTTTTAAGTTGTTTGTATATATTAATTAGTTAATAGGATGACTTTCAAAACAGTTTAATATTATTGTGCTATATATACAGCACATATAGACTATTTATTAAAATGACAAAACTATTTTTGTTAACTTTGTTGGTTCAGATATTTTAATTAATTTGGTTTGCAGTATATAGTGTGGATCAAATAGTAACAAGCTGACTTAGTGAATATTTTATTACTTCTCCATTAATATATAAATTTTACTCATCCAATAATATAACAATATATGATATAAATAGTTATATTGTTTGTCAATTTTAGAGTAAAAATATTTTGTGTTTAGCATAAATGCTGACTTATAATGAGCTTTGTATTGAAAAATTTAAAATACTGCCTTAATTGTAACATGGCAAATCAAAATACTTGACAGTGTTGTATTTGGTAGAGCTTAAATATTTGTTAAATATATAAAAAATGTCAGCAGAGAACTTGCATATGATAGTTTTGCAGACATCTAAAACCAAGTAAGCAACAAGTATGTGTTTGAAATTATTAAGCTCAAAAATAATGCATAAAATTACTTATGTATGCTATTATAATGCAACTATATATATATATATATATATATATATATATATATATATATATATATATATATATATATATATATATATATATATATATATATATATATATATATATATATATTCATATATTATTGGATATGAAATGGCCTTATGACACCTTTTCCTTTAATATATAGTTATATAAATATGATTTTGGAAGATATTCAAAAAGTCAATGAACCTATAAAATCTAGTGAAATCTTAGAGACGAATAGGGAAAAAAAAGAATTGCTTAATGAGTATATATGCTGCTTGCATAGAAATGATAAGTCAAACAACAAGTGTATAACTGTTAGTCCTCCGTCTCATGGAAAGTTTGTTATTATGAAAATAAATAACCAGATCAGAGAACTTCAAACAGTTTTAAGAGACAAGTAAAGTTTTAGTTTTATTTTTTTTAAAAAGTAATTGTCATGTGATATTAAAAAAAAAACTCAAAAAATTTACACCAAGTTATAAAAGATGATTTATTCAGCAGTTTTTTTCTAAGATTGGAAATTTTTAATGTATTTTTAGAACTACTTCAAGATCTGACTTTATTTTCTCAGCTGATAGGCTGGTAAGTAAATAGTTTTTTGTTTTATGCTTAAGTCTTACGCTTAAAAATTATTTTTTGTAATTTTTTTAAGATTCGTTTGGTTATTGAAGAAGGATTAAATCAGCTTCCTTTTAAAGAATGCAGTGTAACAACTCAATCTGGTAAATATATATATATATATACATATATATATATATATATATATATATATATATATATATATATATATATATATATATATATATATATATATATATATATATATATATATATGTCTGTGTGTGTGTGTTGCAAGTATGTTAGTGTATTTTTATGTATTTTACAATAAGAGGAAATGTTCTTAAAAAAAGGTTTTTTTACTAATTTATATGTGTGTGTTTGTGTGTGTAGTTTTTTTCTGTAAATTCTTTTATTTTTAATATTTAATTTAAAAAATAAAAGTTTAATTCCACATAAGAATTAAAAATATTGACATAATTAAACATTTTTTAAAAAAAGTAGTCATTCCATTTAAAACATAATTAATTATTATCTAATAGTTTCTTCATTTTTTCGTTGTATTTAGATTTAAATAGAGAAGATCCTTATTAGATGTAAAATGAATTTCTAAATAAAAAATCACTACCGTTTAGAATTTTATGTTATCATTTAGATTCTTTTTTTACCAAATAATGAAGAAGTCATTCTGTCGCTAAACTTTTTTCGAATATTTTTTGACTGTACTGCGTGAATTTAATCCGTAACTTCTTTCATTAAAACATTTTCATTTTTATTAGTATAATGGAAAGAAAATATATTTTAATTATTTATTTCTTGTCTTTCAGATGAATTTTTTTTTTTAATATACAAATTTTGTATTTAAAAGGTATTTTAGTAATATATTAACATATAGAAAAAAATAATTTAAAAAAAGTTTAAACATAGAAAAACAAACAGTTCAAATAATAACTAAAAAGGTTGGTAATAAAAGTCAAGTTCAAAAACCTTAAATTTTATAACATTTGTCATATAAAATACTTACACAATTGTCAAGTAACACAACAACAACAAAATTGTTAGTTGAAATAAAGTTATAATCATTTATAATATTCATCTTAATATATAAAAATATTTATTAATATAATATTTATTGTTAATATATTATTTATTAATATAATATTCTTAATCTCACAATCATTATATAAAATATTAAAAAAATTTTGGTTGTCATTATATGTGACAGTAGTAACATCAAAGCATTTTTAGTTTTGATATAACCACTGTAAGTTCCTATACCAAGTTCTAAAGCCAATGTCTTTTATTTGATATTTTTCTATCTAACAAGTTTAATTTTTTTGACCAACAAGGCCAGTTTAGCTAGTATGAATAAGCAGTATAATGTTAACAATGTGTTTGGGTATTGGTTAAGTTGACTTATTTAAACTACAAGAATTAGTTATTTTAAGGTACTTTTATTTTTTCTGCCTCTTCAACTGATTTGACTGATTTAGGATGCAAGTATATGTTCATCAAAATAATCAAACATAAATCTTCAAAACGTTCACTCCAGAGTAATAAAAATACCAAGTAGCTCATTCGTGACGTCTCAGTTTGGCATTTGTGACGTCTCAGTTGGTGCTTTTGTGTACAATTTTGAGAGTTCTTTGTTATAACTTTTGATTTACTAAAAGGAATGAGAAGATTGCATAGTTTTGTCATTCAGAGCTCCAACTATCTTTATTTGACTAATATTTACCTTGAATGTTTTAAATCAATAAAGACCATAGTAATCAAAAGTATTCAAAACATTGTCATGAAACAATTGAATTACCAATATTTATGGTTTTAAAACTAGTTTTTCTCCCAAGTTAATATACCTTATACAAAACTCAGCATTCTTGTATATCTGCTATTTGCAATTGAAATCATATTCCTATTTTTTTTTTAATCAGACTAAAAATTCTTCTGAGTACAAACATCTTTTTATCATTAAATTTGTACTTAAAACCACTGTTTAAAACCACTGTTAAAAACCACTGTTTAAAGCTTGTCAAATTACTCTAGCTCACTACTCTCAAATTATTAAATCTTGTATCATAAGTTTCAATCATTTTTAGAAAATCTGTAATAGTATCTAATACATCTCTCTTGCTACATAATACATCTCTCTTGCGTGAGTCAGATCCTTATTACTTTTGCAATGCTGACTTATTTGGAAAAAGTTTTCATATCAATTCATTGCATGTTTTTTTAGAAAATGTGCTAAGAAGGATTGTACTCAAAAAAATTCTCTAACAGTTAAGTTAGAATCTCTCTTTTCACTACCATGGTTTCTGCTTAAACTATCATCTTTTATTCCTCCTAACAAGGTTCATTATTCTACAACTCGTCATTTTGTTAAGTCATCATTTCACATTAGTTATTCCCTTATGCTCTAAGAATTATTTTTTTTGTGTGTGCACATCATTCCAAAGTTCTGATCACTTTAGAATTGTTGTCTTTTGTGTTTTTTTTTTTTTTTATTTATTTAATTTGCAACTAATTCTTCTATTATTTTCTATTAATTAATTTAATTAAGTTCAAAATCCATTCTACATTTATAAAAGTACTGTGCTCAACCAGTTTAATCTGTTTCACAGTTTAAGGTTAAAGTTGTAAATAATATTTTTAAAAAATTAGAACCATTCTTTTTAAAACAGAAAATCATTTCATCTAATAAGGTATAAAAGAGTAACAGAAACTGGTAAAAATATCTTTATTAACAAATGCTTTTATTAACAGATAAATGTTAAATTTAAATAGAGTTTTTGTATTAAAAAAAAGTTTTATATTGGGTTGGCAAGAATTTTTTTTAAAAAATTAACTTATTGTTTTTTAATTCCATAAATAATCTTCAACAACCACAATTTTTTCTATAACCTTATGCCAAAGCTCAGGCAAAGAATGAATGCTCTTGGTGTAGAACACTTTAGGCTTTGAATTAAGGAAGTGATTTATGTGCTTAAATCTTTTGTTAAATCTTTTGTTTTACAAGCTGTTGCTATTGGTTGGAAGAAATAATAATCTGTTGGAGCTAATGGTCTTCAATAGTTTTTTCTCTGTTGATTTTATAATATGAGGGTCAGCGTTGTCATGGTGGTAGTAAACTTGTGCTTAAAGTTTGTTGAGTTTTAATCTTGTTTGCTTTAAGAAGTATTCTATAATACCAAAAATGCATTGTAGCACCTAGTTATATGCTGTCCAGGATCCCAGAACTACTGTCCCAGAACTACACACTGGATAGATCAAGCGTTGCTGTCCAAGGATAAATTTTTATAAACCTTTTTTTTTTTTTTTGACCGTAGATAGGTTAGTGTTGGGTTCATTAATCTGGTTGAAACTCAAACTGTGTTGTGCATGGTCATATATGTTATAGTCAAACAGTAACATACATGGTTTTTAACGTGCGTTTTTCCTGATATACAGAAGTCAGAATGTAGAAATTTTTTTTGATATGATAAATTATTTCACACTCTGTATATACTGAAATCATGGAAACTTCTCGAAGTTTTTAGAATTTTCTAGAAATTTTTTAACAAGTAATGAAAGGTTGTTCATTATATGCTAGCCAATCCAATATAAGTATTCATACAGATTTTCAGAATATATATTCAAAATATGTCCAATAACTTTGTATGAACAGTATTAAACATAATATATGCAGTAAATCAAGTTATAAATTATTTTACTTTTAGAATATTTTAAATGTTTACTTTGTTTTAGGTGAAAATTATATTGGTTGCGAATTTTTTAAAGGAATTTGTGGAGTCAGCATAATAAGAAGTGGTAAAATATACTGAGCATATTTATCTTTGTGTTTTATATTTTAGTTTATAAAATATTTATTTAATTATAAACTGTTTATTACTCTATAATTTTTTTAAGTTTTTTGTTAATTTTATTATTTATATTTTGATTACATTTTGATTTATTTTTTAATTTAGTATGAATTTAAAGTATTTTGATGATAACAATCAACATCAACATGGCGATGCTCATCATCGTCATGTTGATGCTGTTCATCATCGTCATGTTGATACTATAAGCAAAATTATGTTTTGTAAAGTTACTCTTTAATAAATACTACTGAAATTTTAAACATAGTTATTTTAAGCAAAAGTTATTTTAAACATAGTTAGGTATGTGCATTAATTATGTCAACAAAATAGGGAAGAGAAGTCTAAAATTTGTTGACAATTTTTGACAAGGGGAAGGAGGGAGGTCAAAGTTGATGCCAATAATGTTACTTTTTTAATAAATTAAGTTATGAAAAAAAAAAAGAAACAAAGGATTAAATAAAAACTTCTATTATGGATGGACCTCTTTTTTGAATTGTTTTTTGTACAATATTTCAAAGGAGTATAGAGACTATATCAAGTATTATATATATATATATATATATATATATATATATATATATATATATATATATATATATATATATATATATATATATATATATATGAAACCGTTAAAAAAAAACAAAAACAAATCAAGCAATAGTTTCTTATCATTCGAATACCTAAACATAGGTTTCCAAAAGGAAGTTGTGACGTAACCTCCATCATCCTGGACGTACCCTCTAACTATCTATTTAGACTGCCGTTTGAAGGTGCACATTCATAGCATTGTATTTCAAGGGCTTCCCTCACTTTTCTGTTAAATTTATTAACTCTTTTAAAGTATTTTTATTGTTCCATGTAAAATTGCCATGACAATTTTTTGAATGCTTTGCTATGGCTGAATAATCCCATTTTCCTTTGTATGTATTTTTCTGATGTTGGTAAATGCGAGATAAGATTTTTAATTTTGTTCCACCCATATAAGATTTTTTGCAGGAGCATTCAAGTTTTACACATCTGGGTAAATATTTATAGGAAAAGGAGGTTAATTTTTTGTGGTAAGTATATGCTGTCAGTTTTTTGGTGATTTAAAGACTGGTATGTAACCTGCTTTTTTAAAAACTTTTTTTTAACTTCGGGCTAATTCCTGGAATCCATGGTAAAGATGCAATATTTTTTGATGAAATTGATGAATGTTGAGTTTCAATATTTTGTTTTTTATTATGTAAATTTTCTTTGGTGGTTTTTATAATATTTTCCTAGCTCGTTTTTTTAAAACCATTTTCTACAAAAACATCAACTAGAAATAGTAACTCTTGTTCAATATTATTGTCAGAGCATAAATGTAATGCCCTATGAACAAATCCTTTGAAACGATTTCATCTTTGTCAATATTCCATGATTTTTCTAAGTTTACAAACTGTTGAGAGTTTTTTAAATGTGTATTGTTCTTATTGAGGATGGATTGTATTATATCAGTTAAGAATTTTGAAACTTTTTATGTAGCTGTTCCAATAGTGCTTACGATAACTCGCATCGGGAAGTATTTTTCAGGCTTGTTGGCTTTTATGACTCCATACAAATGAGATGGTATAACATCACTCTTTAACAGTAAATCAACCTGCTTTATTTAGTTTTCTGAGTGTGTTTTGAACTTTACGAATGGTTTTTGGAGTTGGTTCATAGTTGAGCTTTTTTGTTTTGCCTCCTAAATGTTCTTGTATTTTGGTTAAAGCAGAATAAGCACTAGTCCTTTATATTATTGTCTTTCTTAATCTAATAAAGACTCTCATAAAGAGCTCTACCTTGTTCTTTATCTAGATTACTTTTGATAGGCTTAACCATGTAAACATCTGTAAACATCTTTGTAAAAATATCCACTGATTTTTTGATTTTGTACCACGTTTTTTTCATATTTTTTCATTTGTTCATTTTTGTAAAGGCCATTTCCATATCTGGCTTCAATATAATTTTTAAAAGACATAAATGAAATAAAGGATTTTTTTTTCTATTTAGTTTTCTTGATAAATGATGGGAGGTGGGTGGGTAAGAAAATTAGTCAAAAAATAAAGATAAAAAAAATTGACTTGTTTTTAAATTAACAACTTGATTAAAGTAGACACTATAATTAAGAATAAAATCCAAACAAAAAAATTTAGTGAAAAATGAACTTTGATAGGTTATTACAGAAAGAAATTCAAAAAAGTGTCTATAAACCATTTTTCCTTTACAAAATGAGTGTTAAAACTAACATACAGCAATTTTAATTTCAAAATAAAACTTCACAGCTCAGAATCCTTGTGGGAGAATGGGTTTCCACATCAAAATGGCACAGGGGCCCCACCGAGGTAAATCTTGCCCTTGATTACACATCAGAAGTAAGAGTTAATCCTAGAAGATAAAGGGTAAGCACAAGAGACTTTAGAGCAGTTCCCATTAAAGTATTTATAGAAAGGAGAAAGAGAAGCAACATTATTATGATTTGATAATGGTTAGAGGTTGGCTGCAAGAACAGGTCTATCTATGTTTACGATGTGTTTTCGCACCTTGTCTAAAAGAGAAAGGGCATCATTGGAAGATCTGCTCCAGATATGGCAAAAGTATTTCATACAAGGATGGATTTGAGATTTATAGACATAAAGAATTAAACCTTGAGTAAGAAAGTATCAAGCACAATAAAGAGATGCAATCCCAGCAGATGCTAATTTTGCAATTGGTTTGATATATAGTTTCCAAGAAAGATCGGAGGTGAGAGTTAATCCTAGAAGATAAAGGGTAGATGATTCATCAAATACATTACTATTCATAAATATGGGAAGATCTAGATTATTGTCATAATAATTAGCTGAAAAAACTTGAGTTTTATCTGTGTTCACCAGCCACTGAGAGCCCCATGCTGTAGGATAAGGGTGATCCTTTTCAAGCTCAGATGCCCCCCTCCTCCAAGCAATCAGAGAGTGTTGGCTTCTTATCATGACAAGAATAAATAGTAGTATCATCTGCAAACAATGCCACCTTAGATGTGAGAATATCTGGAAGATCGTTAATGTAAATTAAAAAAAGTATAGGGCCAAGGATTGAACCTTAAGGAACCCCTGAGGTAACAGAATAAGAAGAAAAGTGTTGTCCATTGAGGACAATTTTTATGCTATGATTGGAAAGGAAGGATTCAATAGTCTTAAAGATGTTACTAGATACACCGCAAGAAGAAAGCTTATGGAGTAATTTAGACCAGCATGCCAAACTTTATCAAAATTTTAGAAATGTCGAGAGCGATAACCTTAGCCCCTTCGCATCCATCTAATGCACAATAAAACCTATTCAGCTATTACAGTTAACAAATCAGCCGTAGAATGAGAAGATCGAAATCCATATTGATGATCAGAAAGTAAGATATTAGATTCAAGATAAGAGATTAAGTGCTTCTTAATTAAAGACTCAAAAACCTTGCTTATCATAGTAAGAAGACTAATGGGATGGTAGTTAAATGAGTCAGATTGCTCTCCAGAGTTTTTGAAAATAAGGAATAAATAGGAAAATAGATGTCGCTTTTCAGGCTGCAAAACAAGACTCCAATATACACTTGTTAAATAGTTTTGAAAGTATAGACAACAGCTCCGGATAACACTTCTACAAGACTATAACAGGTATGTTGTCCAGATCACAAGCTGTAAAAGAGTCTAAGCAGGAAATCACTTTAGATACAGAAGCTGGAGTGATCGAATGTCAAGCAATCGATCAACCTGTTTGATCAACCTGTTGTTTGATTAAATGATCAACCTGTTGATCCATTCCTTGACATTTGTTTTTTGTTAAACCTAGTTTGCCGACAAATGGCTGAATTATTACGAATGTAAATGCCCAGGCCAAGCATATGGCTATTAGAGTTTTTATGAGTAAAAAGGAAGATAACCATCAATACTAAGATCACAAGATGAGACAGCGGAACTCAAATTAGTTTCACAACAAGCAAGTAGGTTTTGGTGAACTTTGTAAGAGATAAGACTCAACAGAAGAAAAGTTACTTCAAAGACCACAAATATTAGTGAATGATAGATTTAGAGAACTTGGTGATGATGATGGTTTTTTGAGTTTTATAGTTTTTGGTACTTTTGTCATTTTTAAATTTGTTAAAGAACTTGACTCAAAGCACGGATAGTACTCAGTACACTATTTAATAATCTAAGCAATTGCCTCAATATTATTAATAAACCCCAAGCCGTAAGCTCCAAATGTGGTCTCGACAATGCACAGCAAAAGTATGAACAGGGACACAACAGGATTAGTTTTTATTTAGACAAAATATTTCAATATAAAATGTAATATATTTTTTTAATTAAAAAAATTTTATTTAAAAAAAAAAACAAAAACATAAAAAACAAAGAAAAACACAAAATAACAGATTTAAAAAAAAGGTTTTTTTGTAACTCAACTCTAATTTAACTTTAAAAACATTTTATACAAGCTTTCTCATAGTAATACATTTTATATAAGCTTTCTCATAATAGCACATTTTATACAAGCTTTTTCATAATAACACATTTTATACAAACTTTCTCATAATGACACCTTTTATACAAGCTTTTTCATAATTGCACATTTTATACAAGCTTTCTCATAATAACTCATTTTAATGGGAAAATTATAGTAGGTATCACATGAGGTAAAAAATGAAAAAGATATGTAGTCTTGGTAAATATTTATTTTTAAATAAAGTTGCTTAAATACTGAAACAATATGGAATATGTCATGTGAAAAGTTTGTGTTGTGATACAACTACTACAAATACAGAAAGACTTTATGGTATCGATGCCAGGTTTAGTCATTGACACAACTCAATTTTACTATATATGACTTGCAGGAGACATTTATTATCTCAAACACTTCTGTGAAAAACTAAGCAGAAGAAAAACTAAATCTCTAAAAAACTTAATGTTTAAACGA